GCTTTGCACTCTGGGAAACCCTGAGGTAACCCAGATCTTTGGTGGTCTGTTAAAAGAATAATTTATATATGTTGCACTTACCAGGTATTCTGACATGGGTAGTTGTGAAGCAGAATCCTAATACTGTTAAGAGTTCATCTCCATGGTCACACCCAACAAAGCTAGGCCTCTTTTTCTGCAGGATTTTGGGAGCATACTGGTACTCATACAGGTAGACAGGGGCACCTGCATCTGATAACAAATGAATGGCTTTGGTTTATCTTGTTTATGAAAGTGTGTGACAGTAAATATTAAACAATTGTTCTCATAGATTTGCATAATCTTGTGTAAATAAAATACCTCTGTGGGCATTAGCAGTCTTAATGGCTGGAATGTTGAAGAGTATATCTCCCAGCAACTCAGTGAACCCATCTCTGTTTTTCACATGATCCTCACCAGTTCCAATGTATTCATCTACCATAAGTTCACTGATGATCGCACCATTGGGCTTGAGAAAATGAATAACACATCTGTCAGAGAAGTTTGAGCATGATGAAGCAGAGTAATATTATAATGTCCAGCACTGTCAGCCTTACATCAGGGTGGAACATGATCATCGCTTTGAGGACCTGCTCCCGATCTAATCCCTCTGTCCAGTTTGAAGAGAAAAAGAACTAAGGGAAGACAATTACTATTTCAAACGTGCACAAAAGCAAAACAAAATCAGGTTTTTATGGGCTCATCTGGAAATGGTAAGCTCCTCAGTACACAAATGTCAGTAACAATTTAGCATTCACACTTACACCAGGAAGTAACCAGCCCCCTTCATCATTATTAACACCAGTCATGAATGGTGCAGTGAGAAGATCATGAGTACGGTACAGCTCATCCACAGGTTTTGTGATGAAGTGTCCATCAACATTTATAGCAATTCTAATAGTTGGATCCTTGAGTCAATAAAACATGAATCAGAAAAGGTAGAGACAAAGACAACGTAAACAAAGTGAAGATTTCATAGAAATTTTGCAGAAGACATTATAGGCTTATTTTCAACAAAGTTTAGCATTTGATATCTCACCTGTCCAAAAGTCACAACCGTGTCAATATCAAGGCTTCTCATGCAGTCAGCAATCTTCTGTGTGCTTTCAAGGCTACAGCCAGATGCATTTGCTATCATCTGAGGACAGATATGTGAGATCCATCTCAACAATTTAGAAAAAGAAATGCATTGTGATATTCTCAATATTGTGAGCTGAAGAATGTTTACACACAAAAATAAACACTGATATCAACCTGCGTCACTGGTAGAGGATCATTGGTGAGAAGTTAATTCATTGAAGCAGTACCACTCTCAGCAATGGCATGGTGGAACAGGCCTTTAGACATTGGTGAGAGAAGCTGTAGATTCAAGCAACATAAAAATAGAATTACCACCTTGCAGTTGTATGCCTCTGCAAACCTATCAAGTTGCACTTATAGTTTACATCTATGTCTGCGACAACATGGATGGTTCACACACATCTTCCCCCCGAACAGCACAGAAGATCTATACAATCAGCACAGTTTCAAGGTGGCCACCCAAGATTAGTGTCACCAATGCAATATCTGACCAAATGTCTCCTTTTCTGTTCCTGAGATACGACATTGAGAAATGACGAGAAAAGTGTTTTATGCAGAACATTATGATGTTGCAGTAAATTTGACCTTTGACCTTTTTGATATAAAATGTCATCACTTCATATTTTATTCAGCCACACATTTCTGTAAAATTTTGGTTTTATTAGTGTATAAATTCTTAAGTTTTGGCCAAAATCATATTCTTAGTATACAGTGACCTTGACCTTTGACTTGTGACCACCAACTTCCAATCAGTTCATTGCTGAGTCCAAGTGGATGTTTTTTTCTATCAAATTTGAGGAAATTCCTTTGAAGCATTCATAAGATATTGTGCTCCAGAGGTTGAGATGGACGCAAGGTCACAGTGACCTTCAGTCACCAAATTCCAATCAGTTCATTGCTGAGTCCAAGTGAACGTTTGTGCCGAATTTGAGGAAATTCCTTTGAAGCATTCTTGAGATATTGCGTTCACGAGACTGAGATGGACGCAAGGTCACGGTGACCTTCAATCACCAAATTCCAATCAGTTCATTGCTGAGTCCAAGTGGACGTTTGATCCGAATTTGAGGAAATTCCCTCATGACATTCTTTAGACTGTACTTTTACATCAATAAGATGGATGCAAGGTCACAGAACCTTGACCACTGATCTCCAACATCTAAAGAGTTCATCCTTGAGTCCAAATGGATGTTCTTACCAAGTGTAAAGAAATTCCCTCAAGGAATTCATGAGCTATATCTTTCATGAGAAAAAGACAGACGAGGTCACAATGACTTTGACCTTTGACAAAAGACCACCAAAATCTTATGTTTATCGCTGAGTCCAAGTGCACAGTTGTGTCAAATTTGAAAGAAATTCCCTCAGTGCATTCTTGTGATATGGTGCTGAGGAGAATGTACAGATGGATTAACTGACAACCCGAAAACATAAAGCCCCCGCCCATGGCTATGGTCAGCATGGAAGCAAATGCCAAAAAACAAAAGCAAAAGTTTATATTAGGTTTAGTGTAGTGTAGAATTAAGTGGCATCAAGCTGTGAGGTTGAAGAACTGAAACTCTAAATGTGAATGGCCCTATCTAAAGCCAGTGTTTGGTTTGTCTCTTTTTAGCTATTGGAGAACAACATGAAAGACTGCTCTGTTTGTGGATATAAACAGTTCATTCTAATGAAACAAAAACACAACAGTTTTTATTTTCAGGTGATTCTGAACTAATGAAAAGATAGTTAGGAATATTATGTACCATTTCTGTTGAAAGATACCCCTAAAGCCTACACACTGGACCTTCAGAGTGCTTAATCTGCAGATTGATCCTTACATGGAGGGATACGCTGACTCCGCCAGCAGACTCCCCAAATATGGTAACCAAATCTGGGTCTCCTCCAAAGTCATGGATGTGCTTCTGGATCCACCTCAGAGCTTCTACCTGGTCCAACATGCCAAAATTTCCTGAAATGTGCTCATCTCCAGTGCTGGATAGAACATACAATTATTAACTACCAGGCTACCATTACATCAGCTTCCATGTGGCACTGATCAGATTAAAAGTAGTAGAATATAAACATAGTATGTTTGTTCTGACACTAATAAGTGATTTGAGTCTTTTTACCTGAGAAAGCCCAGAAGACCCAAGCGGTACTGGATCAGAACCACAACCACATCTTGGTAAGCAGCCAGGGCTGATCCATCATACATTGAAGCTGACCCCATAGAAAACCCTCCACCATGGATCCAAACCATGACCTAGTAAGGTAATGAAAGACTTTGATCTTTTCCACAAAGCATAAAGTACATTTCATGACATTCTATCTGCACAAAATATTGATTAGACTACATCCAAGACTTGAACCTGACTAAAATTTAAAACTGATGGTGATGGTGACAAAAACAGGTCTCTAAATATGGACATCATAATTCATGATGCCATGGACGGTTAAGAAAGCAATCAAACCAACTTCTCCATGAACATTATGCAAAGTTATCTGAAGCTGAATCTCTGAGCAGTATCAGTCCAAACGTGCAGTAACTTACTGGGAGCTTGGCATTGTGCGCTCTGTTTGCAGGAGTGTAAATATTGAGGTAAAGGCAGTCCTCTGAAATGTCTGGGATATCTACCAACAAGCCACCGAGTTTTTCAAGCAGATCTATAGTAAACTGTTTGTGTTGAACACACCTGAAAAAAAGAGACACATTTTCACCATAAATTGTGGACATAATTTCTCTAAGTGTGTTTTTCAACAACTGAAGCACATGCAAACCTTACATGGGTGGCTGCTGGGTGGCGTCTCTCACTCCTTCCCATCCCTCTACAGGCTGGGGTGGAGCCAGTCTCAGAGCAGGGCCTACAGGTGGCTTGGCAAATGGGACACCCAGGTAGGCATGGACCCCGCTCTCCTTCCCCTTCACACTCACATATTGACCTCTCAGGCTCCCGAGCTTTGTGTGGACTTCAGGTCCTGTCAGGATGTCAGATATTG